TTCTCTTTTCCCTCACTCTAGTTGTTCTTTCCTTTTGAGCAGTTTCTTCCCATTTCTCAGTATCTGTTGTACATTTTGGACCTTATTTACTATTTCAGCTTCTTACACTAAGAAGACGATATGATGTTTGCATAAAAGCATCTGGTTTATTTCACTTATGAGTGTGGTCTCAATTTGCATCCATTTACCTATAAAAGTCTCCATCTTATCCTTTTTATGCTTGGGTAATACTCCATTGTATGAAAATACCACATCTTTTTTTATCCATTCCTCAGTTGATGAGCATGTGGGTTGTTTCCAAGATCTAGCTACTCCAAATTGTTCCGCTATAAACATGGGTGCACATATATCTCTAAGGTATGAAGTTTTTAATTCTTCTGGAAAGAACACCCAGAAGAGAAATAGCTAGATTGAAGGCACCCCTAGTCCTAGCTTTTTGAGGAATCTCCACACTGATTTCCACAATGGTTGCACCAGTCTTCATTCCCATCAGCAGAGGAGAAGAGTTCCTTTTTACCCATAGTCTCTCCAGCATTCGTTAGTGGCTGATTTCTTTATAATACCCATTCATACAGGGTAAGATGGAATCTCAGTGTTGTTTTAAATTTCACCTCTCAAATGACCAGTAATGTGGAAAACTTGTTCATATATTTATTTGCTGTTTGTATTGCTTCATCTTTGTAATGGTACATGTTCATCTCAGATGACCATTCTTGGATTGGTTCTTTAAATTTGGGAAGTCTGACTTTTTTGAGTTCTTTATATGCCCTCAATAGTAATCCTTTGTCTGAGGAACAGCTGGAAAACATTTTTTCCCCACGTTGAGTGTTGGGTCTTCACCTTGTTTATGGTTTCTCTTTCTGTACAAAAAGTTTTCAATAAGATGAGATCCCCGTTATTGATTCTTCATGATAGTTCCTATGTGATCAGGTTTTATTCTCAAAATCTTTGCCTACACCAATATCTTCAAGACTTTTATGTAGTTCAGAAGACTTAAAATGTTTCTGTTTTAATATTTAGATCTTTGAGTCCATTTTGAATTTAGTTTAGTGTGTGGCAAAAGATATGGGTCCAATTTTAATCTTTACCATATTCAGAGACAGTTTTTTCAGCACCATTTATGCAAGACAGTATCTTCCTTCCAGTGAATATGTTTGGCACTTTTGTCAAAATCAGGTGAAAGAGTATGTCTGGAGTTGTTTCTACATCTTCTAATCTGTTACCTTGATTTTTCAATCTTTTTTTTTCCAGTACTGCACTATTCTTAACACAGTAACTTTGTAGTAGAATTTCAAGTCAGGGATTGTGATGCCCCCTGCCTTACCTTGGTTGTCCAGAATTGTTTCTGCTATTCTAGGTCTCTTCTGGTTCCAAATGAATTCTATGATTGTTTTGCTAATTCTATAAGATATGCTATTGCAATTTTTATTGGAATTGCATTAAATCTGTATAACAGTCTTGGAAGTATGGTCATTTTCATTACATTGGTTCTTCCCACCTAAGAGCAAGGGATATCTTTCCAGTTTTTTTAATTAATTACTTAATTATTTATCTATTTATATAGTACAAGGTCTCACTGTACAGCTCAGACTCATAGTGATTCTGCTGTCTCAGCCTTTCCAGTGCTGGGATTACAGGTGTGTACCACCATGCCCGTTTCAGTAGCCAGCACCACGTGCCCAGGATTCATAGTATGCAGTATGGGAGATCAAACCTGGGTCCTTGCACTTGCCAGGCAGTTTCTTTATATTGATCCCTAGGTATTTTTCTTTCTTTTTTCTTCCTTGTATGCCATTGTCAAAGGTGTTGTTTCCCTAATTTCTTTCAAGGTGAGTTCATTACTCATGTACAGGAAGGCTACCGATTTTTGAGTGTTAACTTTGTGTCCAGTTATGCTAATGAATTTGCTTATTATATCAATCAGTTTTTTTAAATGTAGTTTTGGGGATCTTCTATATACAATATCATGTCACCTGCAAATAATGACAATTTATCTTTCTTCCTTTTCTGTCATTATTGCTTTTACTTCTTTCTCTTATTTAATTATTCTGGCCAAAGTTTACAGGACTATGTTAAATAAGTGTGGAGACAGTGGATATCCTCCTGGTATTAGAGTGAAAGCTTTTGATTTTGTCATTTAGTATGATGTTGGCTGTTGGGTTTTTTTATCAGATTGAGATAAAGATAATCTGTTCCAATTTTCTGTATGATTTTTATCATTAATGGGTGCTGGACATTATCAAAACCTTTTTCTGCTTCTATTGAGATGATCATATGATTTTGTCCTTGGCTCTGTTAATATGCTGCATTACATTTATTGATTTATGTATGTTGAACCATCCCTGCATCCCTGGGATAAATCCCTATTGGCCGTGGTATATGATCCTCTTGATGGTTGCTGCATTCTATTTTCCAGTATCTTACTGAGAATTTTTGCATCTATATTCATTAGGGAAGTTGACCTCTAGTTCTCTTTCTTAGTTGAGTCCTTCTCTGGATTCCTTCTGTTGGGGTTCATGGAGTTGTAGTCCTTGTTACTTCTTTCTAGAATGTCCTTCAAAACATTTTGGAGTGCTATTTTGGTGATCCTCAGATATTCTTTGTCATGGAAGTATCTTATTTCTCCACCAGATTTAAAAGACAGTTTTTCAGGTTACAGAAATCTGGGTTGAAGGTTGTCTTCCTTTAGAGATTGAAATACTTCACTCCAAGCTCTCCTCGACTTGAAGGTTTGTGCTGTGATTTTGATGGGCTTTCCCTTATAGGTGCTTTGTTTCTTTTCCCTAACAGCTTTTAAGATTCTATTATTGTATGGAATTTCTTTAATCTTGATTTTAATATGCCTGGCTATAGACTTTTTTTGATTGTGGCTAATTGGAGTTCTGTATGCCTCACTTAAATGCATGTCAATTTGTTTCCGACTAGGAAAGTTTTCTGCCATGACGTCTGAATATTTTTAATATCATGTGTGATATCTTCTGACTTTTTATTGATTCCAATTAATCTTAAAGTAGTCTTCATTGTCTTATCTAACAGCTGTGGGATTTTCTTCACAGGGTACCTTGCTACTTCTAAAAACTCTTTCATTGCATGATCACTAAACACAAACTTCTCTTCTATATCTGAAATCCTGTCCTCACATTGGCTTAATCTGCTGTGATCCTTTCCATGGAATTTTTATTCTCCTGAATATCTTCTTTTTTTCAAAAAGAGAGAATTCTTTAATAATTTAGCATAAAATTAAATCATATAAACTTGGTATATTCCAGAAAATATTGCTTTAAACACTTATATCATGATCAAAATTCCTTTGGTAGCTTTTCATCAAAGTGAAATATGCTGCTTTTCAAAATATGAATGTCCTCTTGACTCTGCCTTATGGATTTCATTTCTTTCTATGCTGAGCATTCATCACTTCCATGATTTTCTTAGCTACTCTGTTTGTGACTGTATCTGCTCTAGAGTCACTAAGCATGATTTTCATTGTGCATACCATCTATGCCATTATGTAAGAAATCATTACTGAGCTTCATTCAATTGCTTTGTTTTTGTTACTTCAGAGAGGCCAGATGGGTGGCTTTCAGATTGTCCTACTTACTGCTCATTGGACTTATGTTTGGTGAACTGGATGTCTGAGGTTGCATCTTGATTAAGTATCTTGTCATTTTCTTTTTGTTTTTTAGTTCAATTTCTGGGGTGATGCTTGTAAATTGCCTTTTGTGGGTCCCTTTATTGCTCATATTTAGAACACTTAGAAAATGACTACTTCTCCAAGGTATCTTCTAGTTGTAACTGGTTTTTGGGTTTCAGGTCTTCAACAAAGTCCTCCCTCTTCATTTTACTGGAGATGAAAAGTTACTGCCTTTTTGGTCCAGTCTCTGGTTCTTTGGCATTGTGTTGCAGTACTTTCTGTGTTCTTCAGTCAATCTTGGTTTCAGATTACTAGAAAGAATAGCTGCTTAGAACAATTATGTCACTTTGACTAAAGTGGCACCATCAGTAATAACACTGGAATCTACCACATCCTAGAAAATGACAAACTAAGATAACCATCAGCTTGACACCTTCAGCTGCCTGAACTAGATTTGCAGTTAAATAGCAATCAAAAACAGATCATAAAATTATATGCAGCACATAAGTCCTTAATATGTTAATTTTACCCTCAGTGGTAAAATTTAAAAGGAGCTACAGAAAAACAGAGAGGTAGTTGAAGAGGAAGAGATTAGAAGGAAAGCTGGAGGACAAAGGGGGATCATAATAATTTCAGAAGCTAGTGCAGAAGACTGGAGGGAAAGAGAGAAGAGATAAAAAGAACAGAATACAACCACAACCACAAAGAGGTAAGAAACCATGTTCACACTCATATAAAAAGAAGATCAAAGAATGGAAAAAAAATCAGAATCAAATCCACCACAACAAAAGAGAGAGAAAGAGAGAGAGAGAGAGATTTTTTTCTTTTCTTTTTTTTTCCCTTTTTTTTTTTTTTTTTTTTCGGAACCGGGGATTGAACTCAGGCCCTTGCGCTTGCTGGGGAAGCGCTTATTCCCCTGAGCCATCTCCCCAGCCCCCAGACAGAGAAACAGAGAGAAAGAAAGAAAGAAATCTACCTATAGGTTTATCTCTGTATCTCTGCTGTCACTGTTCAACAACATGTGGAAACAGTGTCCTGATTCATATTGATTTATCCCAGCAAGCCAGCAGTAGCTTTTTTGTTAGACAATGGATAATCACAGTAAGCCTGAACCTTCTGGCTGAGACCAGACTCATTTAGCCTGCAGCCATCAGCACACCTTCCATGGGCCTGAGCCCAACTGAAAGCTGCTAGATGGACCCCACAGCCTCTGTGAGTTCTGAGCACAGCTGACCTCCCTCCTAGATGGCTCATGATCAGTCGTTCTTTTGTGAGGATCAACTGAGGCCTCAGCACTCATGTCAGCTACTGGTCTTTCACATCCACTGCACCCCTCCACTGCTGCATCTCTCTACGGAGGCCCCTGGGCTTGCCAGCAGTCACCATGTATCTGTAGGTCTGAACCACTCCTCTTGCACCCCAAGTCCTCAGGGAGAAGGTGCAAATGGTTTCCTCCTTCTTCTTCGTTGCAGTTTTTCTCTGCACTCTCTCTAGGCTTCAATTCACACTTCAGATCCTTTCTGGATCCAGGGGACCCACTAACCTTCTTCTTGTCTTCCTCATATTGCTATATTCCAGCATCTGGTTGGCAACTCTCAGAAAGACTCTTTCTCTACTACTTAGCACTCTGCCATGTTCGTGCAATTTGTATAGATTTCAGTCCTAAAATTTTAACATAAATTAATTTATCAGATTAACTTAGCCATCACTCTAAACAAATAACTATTAAATACTATATATTTGTTAATAAGCCATAAGACCACAGATAGATGATAAAAATCAAGCAACATGTCACAAATTTAAGGGAAAATGCAACTTATGGACCCTACCAACATGAAAAGGCCTGAGTTAGATGACAGAACATAGCAAATTGGAACAAGTGAACGCTGGAAGAGACAAGCAGCCTCAGAGAACTACAGCATGTAAAATGTAAGACCTATTCACCACCCAAAAGAAAAGAGGTGGGAAATTCTGCTACAGATATAGAAATATACACTTAGATGTTGTTACTTGGTTGGACCTCTGAGCTATTTCAGTATTTTTATAAATGTGGAAGCCCTGAAATGTGGCTCACCCAGGGGACACTCAGGGAGTTTTCTAGACAACTTCACTACTCCCCTGGCCTGGTCTGTGGTCTGGGGCACTGTAGCTAGCACTACCATTCACTGTAGCTAGCACTCCCATTTATAAATCTGTTTAAAATTATGAGTTTCTTTATAAACTATATTTCAACCTCATGAGGTAAAAAGGACTATAGTATTTTATTAATGACAGTGATGAATCTCTGCAGTGTCAGGCCATTCTCCAGAATCCTACTGTAAATAAAAAATGTTGAATACTAATTCAAGCAGGTCTTTCAAATGTAAGCCTTTATTTTTCCCATATGGCAAAGCTACTTAAGACCATAACACACACAAAGATATCTATATATTGGTATCTATGTCATCTATTGATCTGTTGGCAGATATAATATTTCATTACTAGAACAAAAGTCAAGTATAATTCTAGAAATTTCTCTTATCTCCTGGAAGTTTGATGTACATGGGTCCCTTTTAAATTACAATTTATGAGAGCCTGGCATGGTGGCACATACCTGTACTCCCAGCACTGGAGAGGCTGAGGCAGGTCTGCTATGATTTAAAGACCAGCCTGGGCTACAAAGTGAACAAGGCCAGCCTGAACCGCATAGTGAAACCCTGTCTCAAAACATATATATCCTTTGAAAAACAAACCATCTATTTTCGTCGTGGAAAGTGTACCCATTTGAGAAGTATAGAAATAAATAATATATAATATTCATCAACAAGATTCTTAAAACATACATTTCTTTGTGTTTGGCAAAGCCCCGTTCAACTGGATGACTTTGATTCCTACATCAAGGATATGGCCAAAGACTCTGACTATAAATTTTCTCTTCAATTTGAGGTAAGTTGGGTACAGAATTTGCTACCTTGTGTCATGAAAGGATGTGGAATGGCCAGGATGGTCGGGTTCTTTGGGATCTTTTCCTATCTTGTCAGCTGGGCTTATGATGTGGTTCTGTGGTAGGTGTGACATGAGCGGTTGGATTCAGAGCACTTTCACTGCTAGCTGAAAGCAAGGGTCATGTGCCATTGGATATTTGGCCAGATTTTGGATGGCAAAAGTGAAAGGAAGTAAAGAAGAGATGTAGATACTGAGGGGAGCACACATAGGTAGCAGAAGCCATCATTGAAAACTAGGGATGAAATCAAGTATAAGGATGAAACAGTAAACTGAGGCCTGAGGACAGTTTCCCTTTCACAAGACTTTTAGCAAGACTTCTAGTTCGCGAGTGACTTAGGCTGTTGAAAGTGTAGAGAGCAGTTAAAACTCCTCTGTCTCCTGGGCATGTAACAACCAAGTCTAGACCTTTCAGTGCTATGGGGTTCCTGGCATGCTACCTAATACATTTTTGTGCAGTTTTATTTTCTTTCCTTGGGAAAAATTAGAATTTTTCATGACTTGTGTAGAGAAAGAAAATAAAAGGCCAATGCTTATGTTTTTTTCCCCCCTGAAGCATCTTATTTTAGTCAGCTTTCTCATTGCTGGGACGTAATACAAAATGCCCACAGCTTAAAGGAGGAGAGGTTTAGTTGGTTCATAGTTTCCGCTCATGGTCAGCTGGCTCTGAGGTAGAAACGTCATGGTAGGAGAGTATGGGGATCAAAGTCGCGTAGCTCATGACAGCCAGAAAGCAACACATGGGGACAGCACCAGAGGGAACGTCGCATAAACAAGCAACCAGACGCTCCAGGAGCTTCACTGCTCTTCCAGGTCTTTCTTAACTCAGTGAGGTTAATAGAGCACGATCAACGGCACACAGACATATTGTTTTGTGTCAGAGGCCTTGTGTCAGAACAGATAGAAGTGAGTGGGAGGAAGAGAATCAGCAGGTGGGGAGGACAGAATCAGTTCTCTCCTGCTCTTCTCCCAGAGCTCACAGCTCAGAACAGCCTCACGTTCCTCAGATCCCCGTGTCTCAAGTGGTCAGTGGTTCAGTTTAGAGAGAAGAGGAGATGATTTTTCTAAATTCTGGAGTTTCTTTTTAAGGCATATTGTTGTTGCTTTGTTATTGTTGTTTGTTCACTTTTTCTCTCCCCTAGTTAGCCAAATATAGCTTTATACTACAAAAAGTCACAACAGTCCTGGTGTGAGCATTCTTATGGGGAGTTTGAGGCTGTGAAAAATCTTAGGCATTGTCAAATCCAAAGCCCCCTCATCACCACCTGTGGTGAGAAATCTCACACAGAGCCTGCTCAGTGATGCATCGCCGGCAGGTACCTAAGAAATTGTAGATGCTACACCAAATGTTACCTCTCAAAGAGAGAAATTCAATTTGAATAAGAGCTATCGTAATGTTGGCATTTCAAAAATAAAAGTCTACAATAAAAGGAGAGTATTTTTATAAGAGAGCAACAGCTGGATCTGGTGGCACAGTCTGCAATCCTAGCTCCTTGGGCAGCTAAGGCAGAAGGAGCACAAATTTGAGGCCAGCCTAGATAACTTACAGACACTGTCTCCAAAACTAAAAAGCCTATGATGTAGAGTGTCTTGATTACTTTTCTTGTTGCTGAAATGAAATACACAACACTCAGTGGTAAAGGAGGGAAAATGTATTTAGCTCACAGGTTGTAGAGGCTTCAGTCCATTCCAGACTGGCTCTAAAGCAGGGTGGAGTGACAGACCAACAGTGCAGAGGATAAAAGCAGTTCATGGTGACAGAAGACAGCAAAAGCAACAAGTAAACAAGGGAAAAGACAAGCCTCTTAGGGCCAGCCAAATAACTAGGTGGATTAAAGCACCTGAAAGCAAGCACAGGGGCTGGGGGTTCAATGCCCAGGGCTGGCATGCCAGCCTCACCCCCAGGGTGCACTGAGATGGCAATTGAGACTGGGCATGGTGGCGTACACCTGTAATCCCAGCTCTTGGGAGGCTGTCAACAGGCAGATCACTACAAGTCTGGTCTAGTAGTGAGACCCTGAACACCCTATAGACTCTTCCCTAAAATGAAAGAAAGAAAGAAAGAAAGAAAGAAAGAAAGAAAGAAAGAAAAGAAAAGAAAAGAAAAGACAAGCTTCTTTCTGTCCTTTATATTGTATGCAGGCTACAGGGATTAGAGTGAATTTAGTGATCACCCACCCCTTAATCCCAGCATTGCACCATGAATCAGTCACACACTCTAGCTCCAGCCACCCCTGAAAAGTGCCACTTAGGAAGGTATGAGGCTTTAGGGGAACATCTAGAGACAAGCTATACACAGAGCATCTCTGAGTTTAATCCCCATTATCAACACACACACACACACACACACACACACACACACACAAATCAAAATGGTACAATAAACAGTTGGACGCTTCTGATAAGGGAATGGAAATGATGGTGTGGTTACACTTCCAACGTTATTAAAGTCACATTTTCTTAATTCCTTAAGACAATACACCCTAGTGGCTCAACTAGGATCATTACCTCTACTGAGAACTCTCATTTTAAAAACCCAAATGTAACTACTACTGTGATTATGAATTCCTTCATTATTTTAAAGATTCAATGTCATTTTCTGGTAAAAAGTTTAACTGTGACAGAAACATGAACCAAATAGTTTGGAACAAAGGAAAAGGAGATTTATTCAAAGAATAGTAATTTACCTTGCATAGCCAAAGGAGAATTTAGCCAGGGCACAGCAAGGAGCAAGCTGAAGGAGCCAGAGTCCAGACCCCTACCACACCCCACAGGGGCCCCACTTGTATCTCCTATTTCTGCTCTTCGTTTTTATTTTCACTGCAAACCAACTTCTTTCTCAGAGTAGAAAATGTGGCCACCCGCAGCCCCTCGAGCATCACATCCTCTTGTCTTGCACCCTTTTGCCAAAAGAGTTGTTGGTTCTCTCATTCATAATTTTGCAAATTAGCAGGGGAGAGTTCTGGTGACCCACCCCAGGTCATGGTCCCCAATCAAACCAGCTGTAGCCAAGGAGGGCAGAATCATATGAGCCATCACTAGAAGAACTAATGTGGCTAAATTAACCAAATCAGAGAATGGGGGAGCATCGTTTCTCAGACAAGAAAGTGCACAGAGAGAAGCAAAAAAATTATCTGCATGTGAGCTTTAAATCACAAAAATATCAAGAGCAGAATTATCACTGTTATATGCTAAGTGTTCGATTTATTGTGTGCTGAAGATTCATACATTCAACAAATAAATGAGCCTATTTCCTATGATTTATAAGAAAGGTAGACAGGAACTCAACCAGGAGTCTAAAACCTTGGTCCCATTAACATTTGCCACTAATTTGTCAAGCCTACAGTTTCTTCACATGTAAAATGAGTTTTTAGAACTATAGCAGGAGTTCTCAGCTGAGCAAATTGCGGTCAGTTTGGGGACATGTTGGTGGGTCTTCGGTTGTTACAATAGCTCAGCAGAAATAGTACTTGATGGGAGGAAGATAAAGATGTTTTCAATAAATAGGACAATAATCCTTTGTCTCTGTGCTATAGTGCCCCAATGAGAAATGTTGGATTAAGTGTGGGACAGATTCAACCAAGCTTTGTAACTCATGTATTAGCAAGAGTTCTCTAGAGAAACCAAAAGAATGTGTCAACATTATAATCTATAGTACAAAAGAAAAATGGATATAGATATAGGTATAACTATAGATATATACAAAGATGGTTTATAGGGTAGTGGAGATGAGCTAGTCTTACTCTGTGGATCAGGCTGGAGACTCAGAGAAGAGCTGCGATTGCAGTGGCCCTCTTGAGCCCCAAGGCCATGTGGATTCAGAGTTCCCTCCTCCATGGAGTACCTAACTTTTCTTCTTTTGCACTCACTATTCTACTCAAAATTTTCTGATTAAATGTTCATCGCTTTTTAAAATAGCAATGTCCAGACTGGTGTTAGACCAAGCAACTGGGCACTGTAACCTAACTATTATGATTTGTGTCTAGTTGTCCCCCCCAAAGGCCTCATGCAGTCAAGGGGTGGGCTTCTAGACTTTGGGATTAATTCATGATCCAGTAGATTAATAATCCATGGGATTATAGGTGTGAGTGCCCCAGAAATATGGCTATAAGTGCTGCTGGGATTACGGGTATGAGTATTACATGCAAACTGGGATAGACAGCCTGAATGCAATTTAAGGGACACTGACTTGCTGTCTGTTGCCATTGTTGCCACTGCTCCTGTTCTTTTGTTCTCTTTGCTGCCACCATAAAAGGTTGCTCTCTGCCATGTGCCACTCTGCCTTGGAGCCAGCTGAGCATGGACTGAAACCTCCACTGACTGTGAGCTAAATAAACCTTTTATTCCTTAATCTCCCTCCTTAATGTAGGACATTTGTCCCAGCAATGAGAGAAGAATAACTGAGATACTAGCTGAGGTGGAGCATACAATTAACCATCACTCCCTGACTCAAAGAAGCATTTAGGATTTTTATTTATTACGAAGCTGTTTTCATACGTCTTTATTCTTAAACCATTATGAGTTATACATGTAACCAGTCCTTCATTACATGCATGGCTTGAGGTGAAAACTATGACTCACTCTCTAGGCCTCTTTTAACTCACAGGCTCCAGCTGTATGTTTTAGACCCATGTTTGCTCAAGTAGTGACCCAATGGCCTTGCACCTTTTTCACTTGACGGTCTCCAGACATTGTCAACTCGCAGTCCCACCCCTCCTCAGCTTCAGTGTCAGAGTTTCTCATCTATCTTTAAAGAAGTATTGTGTTGGAACACCAGACCTTCCACAAGGAAGTCCTCATATCTGGACAGATATCGAGACTTTTGGAACAGAACATTTCCAACTCTAATGGCAAACCAAGGGGATGCGGAGATGGCGGAAGTGGCTGGGGTTAGCTGAATCCAGTAGCTGTGAAGATGCTTGTTCTGCTCATATGAATGTTTA